TCCAAAATTAAAATCTGATATCCTGTGGATATCGGGATACCGCAAGTTTCGAGCCCTGATATATCAGCTTAATTCCTTCCATATTGGTAAATTCATGTTTTCTTACCACAATCAGCTATTACCACCCTCTTTTCTCAATCTGTTTATTACCAACAATGAAATCCATGATTACAACACCAGAAATGCGCGAGTTCATAAAATAGCGAAACAACAAAAATGCTGAGAACTTTGGCAATACACGTGACGTCACAGATTGCAACTAGGTTTAGACTGTGACGTCAGGAAGTTTCCTATCCAGTTATTTTACAATCCATGGTTTATCCTAACCCACCCTCATGGGCGTACCGGAAGGAAAAATTTAGGGGGGCGGAAAGAAATTTGCCCGACTTTTCCGGATTTTGCCCGACAAGTACCGCAAAAAATTTTTCCGGAATTTATTTTGGCGACCTCCCCCCCCGTCAGTGTAACATTTTAGGGGTCAAAAATTTTTTCCGGACATACCAAAATTTTCCGGAACCTAACAAAAATTTTGGAAACATCACAAAATTTACAGAATTTGTCCCATTTATTTTTTTAATAAACCAAAATTGCCCGACTGTTCAGCGAATATTGCCCGACTGCCCAACAAACTGGGGGGCTACCGCCTCCCCCGCCCCCCCCCCCCGCCCGGTACGCCCATGCCCACCCTGTCAACTTTCCCTGTGGGAGGAAACCGGGAACTGTCACTTCACGGCTCTCTAATTTCTGCAGCCATGACGAGTGTTCTTGAATTGTATTTCAGTGGCGTTACTGTGTCAGGTTGGAAAATCTGGGGTCAGCTCCTGCTCAGCTCCGTGAGAGATATTGGAAAATATTCAGTTTATCTGGGACGTTGGAAACTGTGAGAGGACAAGGTGTTGTTGGACAGGTTTGGCACTCTTAGAAACTTTAAGCTGCGGGGGAGGGAGCAATAGTGAAAACCCTGAGTATGTGGTTGACAAGCTGATTTTAAATTTTGATGAGAGTAAATGTAAAAGGTTAAAATTTCGAGTAAAAATTAGATACAGTTTGAAGGTCCATTTCCACTCAGGAAATTTTCCGCAGAAAGAAATTTTGTAAAATGTGATTGGCCGACACATGCAAATTTTCCGTCGGAAAAAAATTTTGAAGTTGAAAATTTTCAACTTTTAACAATGATATTTTCTGAAAATTTTCTGTCTGTGGCAATTTTTCTTGAGTGGAAATGGGCCTTTAGACCTAACCAGCAAGCAGTTACGAAAAATACAATTATAGGGCATAGAGCCTCTTGCAGGAATCGAATCTGAGGCCCTGCGATTCCGATGCAGCGCTCTAAAGGCACGTTTACACTCGCAATTTTTGCTGTGATTTCTAGTGTGATTTTCTCCTTCTGATGGATGTGAACGAGGGGATGAGTTATGAATGTTCTGAGTACAGTATATGTACACGTGTAAAAATGCTGAGCACGCTATTTAACAGGGTTGAACAATGTTTTGCTGCCCACGTTGTTCACACTTGTCAACAATATTGAACAATATTGTTGAGCCTGAATCGAGTGTAACAATATTGTTCAATATTGTTGACAACTGTGAACGATGTGGGCAGCAAAACATTGTTCAATCCTGTTTTCATCAATATTGCAACAACCTGATCGTTTTTAGCCGTGTACCCTCTGTAGTTCTCTGTCGAGTGACATGGCCAAAATCCTGATATCATGGTTATGGTAATAATGAAAGGTTTAGATAATCATGGTAACAATGATACTGTTTTATTGTAGGAACCAAAGTTGACTCCACAACAAAGTGCATTTCAATACAGCAGTCATGTTTCACTTCATGCTCCCAGTGGGCATATGTGGTGAGTTGAACATTCTCTACGATCATTTCAAGTAAAAATATGATAAATACTCGTACTTTTTATACCATATTACAGTACATCATTTTAATTAACCCATTGAGTGGCAGTGCTCTCCCCCTGACTAGTAAAATCGTCTGGCGTTAGACAGAGTAAAATAATAAAGTAGGGCGCATTGCCACTCAAAGGGTTAACCTGAAAAGAAGGCATGAACCTTATCTATACTTCTGATTGAAAGATCCGGCCGGATACCGGATAATGAGACTATCTCACTATCCGGCCAGATATGATATCCCATTGCATTCCTATCCAGTATAAATATATCTTGTTTCTAAAGCTGGATTTCAACGCATGTTAAGTAGAAATGTCGACTAAACATTTTCAATTAACATGCGTTGAAATCAGATTTTGTTGCAAGTTGCAGCAATTTTGTTGCTGGTGTTAAATCCAGCTTAAATCCTCACTGTTTTTCTTCAATTTATTCCAGGGGGACATTTCGTTTTGAAAAGCCAGATGGAAGTACGTTCGATGTGAGGATTCCACCATTTTCTCTCGAAAGTAAAGAACAGTGAATGTACAATGAAGACTACAGTGTAGTCGTAGGGAGAATGATTGATTAGACTCAATACAAGATGGGCCCTAAGGAAAATACTGTAATAGAAGAGCAGAAGAATACGATTGGCGAGAATAATTCATCAACGGTATGTCCAAAAATGGCAGAGCGTGTAGAAGATCAGTATAGATATGTGAAGGTCAGTATGTACCACTGGGAAAAAAAAGTGAAATCCGTGTTATGAAAGTTGCAATTGCACCACTAAATCCATAGCCTGCGAACAGGCTCACTGGGAGAAAGGTGAGCCTGCACGGAAAAATGCGTTTTATTCAATCATCCCCTTTTCGCATCTGCTAAACGCTAACCAATCAGCGTCGACTGCGATAAATAAACTGTCAACTGTCAAATTGACGCAAGGCGTGTACATTGTGCAACATGAACAATAATACAAAGCATTAGCGGGCCGCACAATATATTACTCGGAAAAATATAGAATTCTTCAAATATTAAATAGATATCAATACACATACAAATATAAAGCCGAATAAAATACTACCATTGGCTTTAAATGTACAGTAATACTTGTACTATGTGCGACTGAAAGAACAATGTTCTGAATATTTTGAAGCTATTGGCTAAAATACGGTCAGATAGATTGGGATTTGGAATACCGAATACGTTTAAAATTTTACTAACTGTGGTCTAAATAAATGATAAATGAGCATGTATTTATTAATTTCTTCGAAATCACGAGTGTGCCAATAGTGGAAGCCGTATCGACGACGAAATTGTCAGCAGTTAATATACAGCAAATAGTACAACGTTTAATGTACGATATATATTTATCTAAATGACATGCCAGCGAGGATCAACAATATAATTATTCGTACATATTTGGGTATCTTTTGTATGCCTTCGCTTGCTGACTTGCTCACTAATGATTGAGAATAATCCGTGAAGCCACGACGACCTCAAAATGTACTATACTATAGTCTGATGTCAATCCGAAGACGAAGTTCAGAATACTGTTATAGTTTCGTATATTGGATTTAAGCGATAGATTCAAGTAATTTATGATAGACTTTTTTGCTGTGATGCTTTGCTATTGCTTTTTTTATTTGTTCGATAGTCCTATAATATATAATATTAAAATGAATAAAGTTCAAATTCTTCAAAATGCTGTTGTTGACATTTGCTATTTTTAGTAATTTTGTCAACGAGTGTAAGCCAATCAGAAGCCTGCGTTTCTATACGAACGCCACTACCAAGAAAACCTATAGTTCCGTGCAGGCCCTCTATTCTTCGCGCCGCCCGCAACCCAGGGCCTGTTCGCAGGCTACTAAATCCATAGTATATCCATCCTATTTCCATACTATATTCATAGTATGGAAATATAGAATTATTATGGATCACCAAAATCCATTCTATTTCCAATAATGGTCCATACATACAATTTCCATTCTACGACCTTCTATGGATTTTCAATTTTTTTTCCAGTGTACTGTATGTGTGACGTGTGTGTGTATCACACTGATCTATATCGAACTGGACCAATATGCATAGAATGTGCAGCAAAGTCCGTTAACAAAAATGCTCGAAGTCGAATGGTCTAGGTTATATTGCACAATAAGCTGCAGCCGTGGTTTGAATCTGAACTTCCCAAAAAGGAAATTTTAAGAATAATAAACTCCTACTTAATAAAGCTGGAGCCTAACGAAGTCGGGAGCAATCCGTACTACAAATGGCGAATTAAATAAACTCAGGGTTGGAAGATTCTCATATACAACCGCGAAAATTGACTCAACTTCAAAAGTGTTATTCATTGCCGTAGCAAGCTCGATAATGGGGGGGGGGGACATATTCATATATTCGTGTTCACAGACCATAAAAACAATCGATTTCAAAAGAAATTAATAACGCAGAACACGAATATATGAATATCAGCCCCCCCCTCCCCCAATTATCTATATATAGTATTTATAGTATCTTATATATTTAGTATTTTTTCACTGTCTTTCAATATTTCTAAATGTTTGAGCAGAAATGTTTTACTGCTTTTCCCCTGGCTTGTTAATTTCTCCATTTTACGATAATGGAACCGTTCTGTTTATGTAATAAAATACAGCATGAACTAAAATAAATATATTATGGACATGATAAAAAGTTGATGTTGGGGACAATATCAGTACAGACAAATTACTCTAAAAACACTCTGGCTAAAGTTTCCATCCCCCAGAAAATTTATTACATTTTTGAAGCTCCAGGACTGCATTTCTGGCGTTTTCTAAAGCAAATTTCGCAAACGAATTGGATTATTAACAAGAGTGTTTTTAGAGTGAAGTTTTGACATATTTTGAATAATACATATTATTCTAATTAATTTATTTTTCAAATAATGTACATGTACAAAATTATACTGTAAAAATCTTTTACACTTTTATTTACAATTATTAGTTTTAGTATCTAATTTCCCCTTTAAGGTTTAAACCTCCATTAACTATGTTTAAACCATGTTTAACAACACAAAAAAGGCATTTTCATCAGTTCCATTCACTGGGCACTGTGCTCAGTTATCAGTTTAACCATTTTTTGTGGATCAGGGTTCATTGAAATTTGTCAACATGGCTTTTATATGTATCCACACAAACCAACTCTGCAATGATAAATAAATGCTAGTGAGCTCTATATATATATCTGGAATATGAACTCGTGTCCAAAAAGTGAAGATAAAGATGGCGGAAATTGACGTAGTGAACTGAATTGACGTCCAGTCACAGAGTACTTACATACAGAGGTCTCACTTCTGTGGGAAAACCGTAAGGTAGTTTTTACCATTGAACTATAAATAAACTGGAAGGCTAACTCAGGGGGGGAAATTGAAGCCAGTGCATTTTAGTTTTTCTGAGCTATGAGCAGAAATACTCAACACTGAACGTTGGGCTATATATCAAATTGAAGCTATTGAAAAACGCTATTTGGTGTAGAAATTTCAAGACTTTAGCTAAAAGGGAAATATTGAAAAACTACAAACATAATTACCGATAATTTGCCGTTTTGCAGTTGTTTTCGTATTTTTTAAATATTTTTCTTTTCGCTGAAGTCTTGAAATTTCCACACCGAATAGCAATTTTGAATAGCTTCAATTTGATATATAGCCCGACGTTTGGGGTCAAGTATTTCTGCTCATAACTCAGAAAAACTATTTTGGCTTCATAAGAACGCCTGACATTTAAGGCTATGGTTTTTACCAAAATAGCTGGCGGCCATGTTCTTACCAAGTGCCGTAAAGAGAGGCATTCACCCCCCTGGAACATTAAATTTCAATATGTTTTCAGGGGGGTGACGGCCTCTCTTTAGGGCACTTGCTAAGAACATGGCGGACTGAAAACCTGAATTAACCTGAATGAGACCTCTGTATGTACGTATTCTGTGGTCCAGTGCCAGTCCCTTTCTATTGTTTAAGGACTTCGCCAAAATTTCGTGTTTTCACTTCGATTTGAAGAGTATTAAAGTGGCACTCGCGTCATAATTTTCTTATTTTCTAAAAATGCTCTTAAAACTGTATAGTAACTTGTTTTGAAGATTTTTGTTCCCATGCTTAGTTCTTGAGATATTTTATCTTGTTTGTAACCATGTGACGTCAATGACACAGAATAAGGTACACGGAAGGTCGACTCGAGTAACCGCTGCCACGCCATGATTCATCATCAAAATGCTGACGCCATGGTCCTAGCCAGTGCGCGTTTGAGAGGCATTCCCCCCCCTGGACGTCCACCATTTTGAATATTATCAGGGGGGTGAATGCCTCTCGTACGCGGTCAGCGCGTAGCTCAGTTGGGAGAGCATTGGGCTAGTATTCCAAAGGTCGTAGGTTCGAATCCCACCGTGGCCGGGCATATTTTTCAAGCTCGCCCGATGTGGATATGCACTCAGAGTAACATCGCAAACATATTATTCACCTGAGTACACAACACCAAATCAGAAAAATTTAAAATGAAATATCTCAACAACTAAGCATGGGAACAGAAATCTTCAAAACAAGTTACTATACAGTTTTAAGAGCATTTTAAGAAAATAAGAAAATCAAAATTCCGACGCGAGTGCCACTTGGATTAATTTCACCATCTTGCCTTCACTTTCCTTACAGGCCGAATGACTTCTTGCTCCAGATATATATATAGAGAGAGAGTTCACTGATAATTGCATGTTTAATGACGTCATGTTGGCGTCATCATGACGTCAACAATATTTCTCACACAATATGAAAAACACTGGGTATCTTTTTGCCAACCATTAAAGGGCGCCAATTATTTTACTCTGTCTAATGCCTGAATTTGTGCGTGCATGTCGTTGGGAGATTCCTGCGTGTTGCGTTTTAGAATTGATATGGAGTATTAGCTGCACATTTTATCCATTAGCTTTACAATTATACAAAAGTGCTATAAAGTATATAACAATGATTGAAGGTATGGTCCACAGGACATGAGTCCCATGTGAAGACCAACCTGATACAATACAATAAGTAGACATACATTAAAAACAAAGACTAGAACACTATTTACATAACTATATAAAAATTAATAGTTTAGATTAGGGAGCGGTCATTATTTATGGCGGGGGGTGGCACCGAAGAGAAAAGGGTTGGGTAAACAAAATTTTGAGTGAGTAAAAGGTTGGGCAAATGAAAAAGAAAACAACTCAAGGGTTGGGTAATAAAAACTTATTGTCATTTCCAAAGCATGACTCACTCAAATATTGGAGACTAAAAAGCAATGTCAACAGTTATATGTCAATACAATATGTGAATTAATCAGAGTCATTATCTTGACCATTTTCCGATTTGTTGGGAGACAAATGTTGTCTCCAAAGAAAGTACATGTGCAGACAACATGAAACTTTAGACTGCAGAAAATTTCACAGAAGTGGTAAAGGACATGTGTCACAACTGAATGGTATCCTTTTGTAAAGTTTTGTAAAGCCAGGGGTGGGTATTTATTTTTTAATTGATATTTGAGGTTGGGTAATCAAATTTTTGACTTTTTAATGGTTGGGTCAGCAAAAATTTTGCCACGAAAAACACTTCTCTTCGGTGCCACCCCCAGACATAAATAATGACCCGTCCCTAAGCGCAAGTCGTTACAGATCTGTGAACAAGTTGTAACACGGTTGTTGTCAAGCCAATATGCGAATAATTGTACCTTAGTATCAACTTCACATTCCCGCATCTCCTTGTAATTCTTACTATCAACATCTCGGATGTTCAATTGCATTCTGTTGAGGAACTCTCGAAGACTTATTGTGACAGTTCTCCATTCCTTGAGATCCAGGGTTACTTTACCACTGTATGGCTCCACAGGAGTCCTGTCTGTCGCTACAGTGTCAGTTGCCTGGGGTGTATCCTCTGTGGGGAGTTGTTCTTCATCTGGTGCAGACTGAAGGTCTGAGGTGGTCTTGATTGTGACAAGTTCAGGTTCACTTGGAGTATCTTCAGGTTTCTACAATGGAAAAGAAGTCATCGTCTTGATATAATATTCTGTACTAAATATGTATTATGGCGATTAAATACAGGCCTTGCCAATAAACGATTATCCTTACTGGACCTTTAGAACGAACAGTTTAGAAACTAGTAACTCAAGTTACTGTAGTTTAGTTTAGGTTTTCTCCAGTAGTAACACTGGATCAATAAAAGATTATCCTTACTGAAACTCTAGAACGAACAGTTTAGAACTGATAGAGCTATCCAGTATAAATAAGAGATGACCTTACTGGGAGAACAGTTTAAAACTGATAGAGCAAATTCAGTATAAATAAATTTATTTTTGTTTAGTTTAGTTTAGATTATTTTAAAGCAACTGAATTGAACACATTTTGTGCTGTTTTCTGGAAAGATAAATGCTCCTTTGAAAACAGTAAAAGCGTGAATCTGTGCAACAAATCACTCTCCGCACACTTTGTACTACTTTAGGCAATACTAGAAGTACTTTACGGATAAAATTGATACTCTAGCCACCAACCTCTTTTTGAAGGATGTGATCAAGTCGTGTATCAATATGCTCATATCTCTCTCCAATCTCACAAATCCTTTCCTCCATCAAGTTTACTCCATCCTCATCAATATCCGTATGAATATCATCCACCAGAAGTCGAACACGGTCAATACGGGCTTTATTTAGATCTTTGACATGAGAATTAGCCTAAACATGTGGAAATAAGATCAATGAAGGGAATGTGCATGTGTCTTTCAGCTCTGTGACTGAGGTTTGATTCCTGCAATATACAGTTGTCAGATTATAATTTCACCTCAGTCACATGTGAGAAGAGTGCTTCCAGTTTCACTCTACCAAACACTGCAGTATTTCGAGTTACTCCAGTTGTGTTTTGGTGAAAAACTAGTTCAGTACTGGACTGCTACTAGGGAGTTAGATTTGTTAGAATCACTAGCATTGTCAATGCATTGTCATATGTTGTCAAACGACCTGACGAGGGTGAGAGTGCATGAGAGTTGACAGTCGCGTGATCTTGGTTAGCTGTTCTTAATGCTTTCCCAACACTATCATGTATTCTATTGAAATTAAAACATAGTTGGAACACGCATCAAACTTTCATTTTGTTAATTTAGAGTTTGAAATATCCCCTGTAACAACGCGTGACCGCCAACCCCCATCAACGCTTATCTTTGCTTGACCTGGGCTTTAATGATAAATGATGCAGATATATGACGTAAATACATTTCTACCACAAACCTTGATATGATCTTTCATCTTTTCTATTGTAACCCGCAGTTCTTCCTTTTCATCTGCACTTAACCCCTCGGGTTCCTCTGTATCCTCAGATTCCTCCCCAGTCTTTTCTTCCGCCTGCTCGTCTTCATTCACCTCATCCTCAGGCTCTTTCTTAGGAGTGCCGTCTACACTGTGATCACCAATGAAACTGAAAGGCGAGACACTGACATGTCGTAATTGTTCACTGGTAGAGTCTATTTTCTTCAGTTTTCCGTCAGTGTCATCCAGCCAATTGCTGACGATGTCCATGTAGGAGTAGATTGCTTTGATTGTTCGGTTTGATTTCTCCATCTATTTGAAATTCAAAGGATCAATTATCAGTTAATACATGGCCATCAATATCTTAAAACCAGAAAAGTTACTTTGTAATCTGTAAACTATCCCGTGTGTGCACCCTAGGAGTATAAACTACATGTTATTTTAATGATACTGGATAGCTCTACCAGTTCTAAACTCTACTTCCTAGAAGTCCAGTAAGGATTACCTCTTACTAAACCAGTGTTACTACAGGAGGAAACCTAAATTAAACTAACTTTATTTATTTATACTGGATAGCTCTATCAGTTCTAAACTGTTCTTCCTAGAGGTCCAGTAAGAATCATCTCTTATTGATCCAGTATTACTACAGGAGGAAACCTAAACTAAACTAACTTTATTTATACTGGATAGCTCTATCAGTTCTAAACTGTTCTTCCTAGAGGTACAGAAGGATCATCTCTTATTGATCCAGTATTACTACAGGAGGAAACCTAAACTAAACTAACTTTATTTATACTGGATAGCTCTATCAGTTCTAAACTGTTCTCCCTAGAGGTCCAGTAAAAATTAAACCTAATTAGTCCTGTGGTACAATAGATCGACCGCAAAAAATTTTATTCTCACCTTTTCAATTTTATCTGCAATATCTTTCTCGAGTTTCTTCCAACAATTATCAAAATCTTCAATCTGTTTAGCCACTTGCTCGTAGCCTTCTGATTCGGGCTGAAGGTCTTCAAGCAAAGCTTTTCCCGAGATCTTAAAGTGATCAAGATTTGGAGAATGTTGACTGACATCTATCTGCAGGTTCTGCAAATACAAAATAGATTATTAATAAAATTATTTTATATTGTTGAAGAAAACAAATGTTCTCATCAAGACTTATCACAAGCTAATTACAACATTCGCGTCCGTATTGTAGCGGATATAAATAATAAACATAGTTTTACAAGACGTTGCAAGATCATATTTGACACGAGGGTTAAGGAAAATCTGATGTAAACTCAAACAATATATATCATTTCCAGTCTCTTACCCTTAATGTTTCCGTTTTTTCCTGTACAGCATTTTCATCAGCTAAATTCACAGGAGTGTCGAGTTCCTTGAGCTCGGAATCTTTCTTGTCTATCCAATCCACCAAGGCAAGTTGCTCTAGTCTGAAAGCTTTCCATTTCTGCAGAGTTTCTTGAAGAAATATCTTTCGTTGTTCAGCCCAAGTGTGCAAGATCTCCCAACGATTCTCAAGACTGAGTAATTCTGAGAGTGGCACTTCTGGGTCGACCTCGTTTTTGTCTCGGATTTGTTCTAGCACAGAACGAATGTTGTTCTTCTTCAGATCATTCTCAAACACCTAGGAAGTATTTTTACATTTGTCATCTTTGACGAACTATTTAGCAGTTAAATTGGTTGCGCTTCTAAAATGGCTACTTTACAGTGTTAATGTCACAGTGGTCAATGCTTATAATTTCTTGGTTTCCTGTGAAGAGTGCTTCCAGTTTTCTCAGAAGTGCTTGGATTCTGCAGTTACACTAGCCCAAATAGGAGATGGCCTCTACTCAAGGGATAACCGTACTCTTACAAGATATGTAGGGAAAACAATTTAGAAATTGATACAGCTATCCAGTGTAAATAAAGTTGGTTTAGTTCCAGATTGTCTCTAACATAACCAAGGACGTTTAAAAATACATCCATTCTAAGACAAAAAATAACAATGATTTTGTCTGTGAGTGTGACCGCGGCGGAAACTTTAACTTTTTAGCTTGTCCAATGTGGATATGCTTCACCTGAGTGCAGACACCAGTAAACAATTAAGCAAAATGCATTAAACATTTGTACTGGAAAGTCGTATCAGTTTTATCTAAGTGCTCCCCCCT